TTGTTTGGAATTATAAATATGAGCGTAGTTCGTCTGTTAATATCACATGCACTTTTTTGTTTGTTACTCAGACGCAGGCAGTGCGCTGCATGAGATAAAAAAGTAATATAGCCAAAACAACCGCATAGCCACTCTTTAGTGTAAATGCACGTTGTTTTTATCAGACGATGCCGCAATTATAAATGAGAGTGACTCCTGGTTAACATGTATTAAAAGGGGTCGCGTTTAGTCACTATTTAGTGCGGTATTTTTATATTCACTCATCATGACAGTAAAATAGGGCATTCGAAGTCAATATACTGCAGTATTTCCTCTCTCAATCAGTAGAAAATATGGTTAACACCCGGTCATGCATGAAAAAAAAAATACCGTCATGTACCGTGAAACCGGTATCATTTTGAAAAATACGGTGATCTAAATTTTTGATCATACCGCCCAGCACTAAAACGCAGCTTGTGTAAAGACCCTAAAAATGAATGGGCTACCGTCATTGAAGACGGGAAGGGTGAGGAAAATATTTCACACAGACTGACTGCGATATTCCATCCACCAGCACTGATGGCCGCCTGAACAGAAAAGGAAAAAAAAAGGTTTTCCGACATTCAGCATTTAACCCACAGATTAAATATTGATTGAACTTTCTATAATGATTTACAACATGTTGAGAGGTAATTTCTGGAAAAAAACTGGCTAATGACAGGAACTATGATTTCGTAAAAATCTGATCTCTGCAGAGGGTAACTGTACTTTTTTAAGTGAAACGATGAGAGTGGAATGACATGAGTGAGAAAACACAAGGCTTTGAGTTCGGGTTGGAGGTTAAAAGTTGAGGGCGAGTGTTACTGTACCGCCAACACGCACTTTCGATTTCCTTATTGTCTAACCACAAGTCTGTCTGCGCTGCAATGGTCTGTGCAACAAGGCCGGCAAAAAAGAGGCTTCCTCTTCCCAAAAGAAGATGAAAGCAAGGCACAGTGTCAATGAATTAAACTTTCAACATAACCAGACATGTTAACATAAAAAACTGTCAACATTGAAACACACATATCTGCAGCCAAACACCAATACTAAAGGCACAGAGACCTTTTGATACTTTCCCCCATTTTTTGAATGGGGTAAGAAAGAATTTTTTTGTTTGTTTTTTGTTAACAATAATAACCCTGATACAGGAACTATTGTCCAGCTCAGCTTAACACTGAAAGGCGTAAGCAGAATTTACCTGTGGAGGGTAGTTGCTCTCAGATGACCACCTGGAAGACTGATCGTTTGGTTTATCCACTAAAATATTCCTGCAAACAAACAAACAAAATAAGAAAGAGTTAAAGAAAAGCGTAAGGCACCACAAACATTCTTTAAAACTTTTTTCCACACTTTTTCTTGCATGTATAATGAAAAAGTTGTGCAGATCTTCCATAGCATTAAGCTGTCACTATGAATGCACAAGCATCCAGTGCGCTGACAACTTTCTAATTGTGATGCATGCTTACAGATGAAAACATGCACAAATGTGCTTGTTTATACAAGTATGCTTGCAATTGGGTTATGCTTGTTATGCCAAGTCCAACACAGTTCTGCTTGCTACATAAAGTTCATAAAGCATGTAAGCTTGGGGTGAAAAGCAAAAACAAAACTGGCAAGAGTACACGGGTGTCACAACAATATATGCTTCACCACTGACTAATGCATGAACGTGTACTGTTTATGTCAGTCTACTACAGCACATTTTCCTCTAGCTATCATATCTAACACAAGGATTACAAAGAAGGTATGTAAATTAGTAATACATTATCCATTTTACATGACACAAATTGCATGGATATTATGGGTTAGACCGCAATAACCAACCAGCTCACTGGCTGTGTTTCAAAACTAAGTGAGAGACCGCGTTTCATAGGCTGTCTAGATAGGCAGCTCACTTGTTTCGAAACTCTACTACTTCATGCCTTGCTAGATAGCTAGAAATAACAGCATATTTCGTACAAAAGCCCTGTTTAATACATTTTGCCATGGAAGTATTGTTATATAATATTGTAGATTAACAGAAACAGACAAAGATTAAAACGGAGGATAAAAATAGTCTGCGACTCTCACAGTGTCATATTCCAACAGTTTAGCTTTAGTATTCACCATAGCATCTTTATACATTGATGTATTTTAAAGCAGTACTGGTAACAGTTAGTCTAATTAAGCTGTATTTCGACCAGATATTTTAAATATAGACGAAAACACCGATTTAAATGGCATTCAGCGATTTGCGGTTTGTTTACTTCTACAGTTCAATATAGTAAACTAACGTTAGCCATTTAGCTAACCCGCTACATACTGCAGTTCTGATTTATATTTGAAGTATAAATAAACACAGTGCAATGAGACACCTGTCAGGTTCTTAAAAGACCATCGTGATCTGTATACGTTAATGATAAGAAAAATAAAAAAAACATTAGGTGTGCTTCAGGCGTGTTATTTGTATAAACTCACATAGGCTGCTTCACACTAGCCTAACCTAGCATGCTAACATGACTGTCACATCTGCACATTTACATACATGTATAGCCGTTTCCCGACTTTTGCACATCTAAATGCACATTAATATGTCAAATTAGATATTTGTTTGCTTTGTTGCTTGCAGTTATACATTTGCGGCTGCTTGTTATGTATCGTACCCGTCTGCTGTAGCCCGGCCCGTTGATGAGATAAAGCCATGGATTTGTTTAATATTACAGAGTTATAAACTGTGTATGTATATTTAAGAGCATATATAGAGTCTCAACGTGAGTGTTTAATGTGCGTTACTCACTCGGGTAAATACGTAGAGGAGTACGAGCTCCATTTATAAACACTGTAGGAGAGCACTCTGCTGTCAGGAGCCGCCGCCATCTTGATGCACGAACGAAACACACACTTACACACGCGCATATGCATCCATACATATTCACACTCTCTCACACACTCACACTCACACACACACACACACACAGACAGACAGAGAGAGAGTAGGCACGCAATCTTAAAGTGGAACAGGACTACAACATTATGTGGCCCTTGGGGAAAATAATAAATAAATAAATGCTCATATATACACATAATAAAGGAATTTATTCATTCTGATAACATAGTGTCTTTAGAATACTTTGAATCAATCGTAAAGGGCATAAAAACATTACACTCATTATGTAGAATGTTGTAAACTAGGAAAACTTTCCCCTCTTTTTCATCACCTAAATATTTACGTAGGACCTAAATTACACTTATACTTTAAATGAATCATCCAGCAATGGCTGAACTATTATTAATCATTATAATGAGGCTAAGAGCAAATGTACTGCAGCTAAGCCTGAAAGTAGGCTATTCTTGACACAAGCAAATGAACCAGTGGCTATACTCCAAGAGGCTACCAGCCCAAGGGACGATCCCATCCTTGAAGCCAAGGAGCCAAGCAAGGGATGAGGGGGCGGAGGTGCTGTATTGTTTGAGTGAACTGTAGGCTAATCCTCTCTAATTCCATGCAATCAAGGGTCTTTTATCGGCCAATTAGCAGTGGGCTTCAGTTTTCACATGATCTCATGGACTCTTTGATATGATATGACAAGAACATACAATGGTAGAGAAGTCATCTTTGAAGAAGTTAGAAAGTTTAGACAGACATGGATGGATGGATGGATGGATGGATGGATGGATGGATAGATAGAAAACTTTCCCCTCTTTTTCATCACCTAAATATTTACGTAGGACCTAAATTACACTTATACTTTAAATGAATCATCCAGCAATGGCTGAACTATTATTAATCATTATAATGAGGCTAAGAGCAAATGTACTGCAGCTAAGCCTGAAAGTAGGCTATTCTTGACACAAGCAAATGAACCAGTGGCTATACTCCAAGAGGCTACCAGCCCAAGGGACGATCCCATCCTTGAAGCCAAGGAGCCAAGCAAGGGATGAGGGGGCGGAGGTGCTGTATTGTTTGCGTGAACTGTAGACTAATCCTCTCTAATTCCATGCAATCAAGGGTCTTTTATCGGCCAATTAGCAGTGGGCTTCAGTTTTCACATGATCTCATGGACTCTTTGATATGATATGACAAGAACATACAATGGTAGAGAAGTCATCTTTGAAGAAGTTAGAAAGTTTAGACAGACATGGATGGATGGATGGATAGATAGATCTGATGTTTTTGATGATTAAATTGTACTCATCCTTAGGAAATCCAGATGTGAATGGGTCCCATCAGACTGAGTTAGGGTTAGCAATATTCTGAATAGACTAATATCGTATGGACTCATATTTTAGCCAGAAACAGTGGTTTGAAGTTACAAACGTCTTAAAGATGCATTTGTTTACTACAAATGCAGCTTTTCACTTCTCAATACTTTAATTGATGGACTGGAGTTGTGTGGACTAGGCTATTTGTGGATTACTGTGATGTTTTATCAACTGTTTGGACTCACATTCTGATGGCACCCATTCACTGTAGAGGATCCACTGGTGAGTGCCAATTACAAATAATGTAATGGTACATTTTTCCAAATCTGTTTCAGTGAAGAAACTAATTTATTTACATCTTGGATGACCTGAGGGTGAGTACATATTCATCAAATATTTTTGGTAACAACATTTTTGGTTTAACTATTTCTTTAAAAGGTAACAAATATGATTGTATTGTATCACTGTGGACGTGCCTATCAAAATGCCTTATCAGTGAGGCTAATTATTCGAGACTGCTGAAGAACACAATGGCCTTCTAGATAAATGCATTTCGCTTTTAGTTGATCATAGCACACTGATGCTGTCTTATACCGGAAACAAGCTGATGTAAGGAATGAGAGATAATGTCATTTCAGCTAAGTGCATGGCCAGACCTTGGCAAGAGCCCTTTTAATTTACCGTAAATGGATGGGGACTATTTGTGTGTCACAATTTTTTAAACCTGTGTGTAAATGTGAAAAAAAAGTTATTGCCACTCTTAGAAAAATGGTACCTTTAGAGGTCTAACTTTGTACATTATGTACCTTTTAAAGGTGCATATACCTTAGAGAAGTAATATGTCATCTTAATGTACAACTATATTAGAAAAAATAGCAAAAATTGTACCTTTAGTGGTCCAAAAAACTTTGTTCATTATGTACCTTTTCAAAGTGCATATATCTTAGAGAAGTAATATGTCAACTTAATGTACAATTTTTTAGGGGTAAATACAAAGTTGTCACCAGTGGCAAGCTGTTGCACCCCTACCATTTTTACAGTCATGAAGGTGTGGAATATAGCCTAACTTAAAGCAGCACCATTCAGTCCTTCAGTCTACAAAGAGAACATTTTTAGCGTTTCATATGAATATTTCTTCTCATTTCTGTGATACATGATCAATTATTGAATGTATTTTATTCCAAACATGCAAAATATATATTTTATAAAGACAGATTTATTTGATGATATTTAAATAAAATATTGTCGGGAATAAAATATATATATAAAATTGATATATTTATAAATAATAAAGAATAGATTAAAAGTAGAATTTTCGAAACATTTTTGATAGATGCTGTTAAATAAACTATTTGATACACGTTTTAAATACTTTATAGTATAGTGCACGTTTAAACGAACAGTTTGGCCCAAACAAGCTGAGTCTAAAGAGTGTCTCATTCGGGACGGGTTGCGATTGCGAATGAGATCCAGCAGCAGTTCGGTAGGAGGTCCCTTTAAGTTTCCATTGAGGGAGGCCGCACTATGTCACATGATGGACATGATATAATAAAACAGCGAACAGAAAAGCTAAGTGTGTGTGTCCATGACTACAAAATAAGACTGTAAAGCAACGCAGTCGGCCGTACACGCCCCATTTTCAGAGTTGGAGCTACTGGAGCTGCAGTGTTCCCAACATCACCCAGTGATAATGTCGTAGTGCGGACCGGACTGCACCTGCTGCCACGCATAATACGCACTTCACAGAAACGCAAGAGGACGCATGAAGTTATCTGCGGCTCCTTCATATGATGAATGACACAGTTAACGCAAACTCCTCGCGCGCATGTGAGAACTGAGAAATGTGCGGATTGTTATGAACAAGAAAGTAAGTGTGTACAATGATGCCTTAGGTTATTAGAAATGTATGTGCATGTTCGGGGGGGGTGGGTAGGGGGAGAACGGGTCTCTTGTTGCCAAGAGATATTTGGATGATGTGCCACATGCAGTGTTATTTCACTCCACGAACCCTTGCCAACGTCCGCATTCCGGGCTCTGTTGCGCAGATTAAAATCCAAAGTTGAGGGTGAATGTGGGGAAATATTCATTTTTAGCCCTGCGTTTAATGCTGCGTGTGGATGATGTCTTATTTAAAACCTCTAAGCTGAGCACTTCTGTTAAAGAACATCACGCCCCCTGTAAGTGCGCAGTTGCCGAAGGATGTCACTGCAGCCGAGTATAGGCTAACCTGTCTGCGTACATACAACCGACCTCAGCCTTTAATATTGACGATCAACTGAATATATTGATGTTTAAAGCGTACAGAAACGAGAGAGGGATCACTTGAGATCTAAAGCAGGAAAGCCTCGCGCACTTTTTAGAAGTTGCGCTGTTATTTCAGTACCATCGTCATCATCATTAGGCTACACAAGATAAAGCGGAACAGGCGCCTCGGCGATATGAAGCAAAACTTCGCCGCAGAAATGAAGAGCCGGCTCGATGCCTCTCAGAAACAGGTAAGACTGTTGAGATTTTTTATTCACTTTAATATAATTTAATATGGTTACGTATATGTTATATAAGCCTATAGGAATTTACCGGTAATATTTTAACATGGATTTGCCGCTTCATTGTATGTAAAGGAATATAAAGTCATGCATTTGTGTTGTACTTCGCGCATATAGCGTTTAAATGAGTGTTAAATTAGTTTAGTGTGTTTAAATAACTATACGCGTTAGAATCAGTTTCAGAGCGTTCCGTGAGTGCGCAAGTCCTGAACCAAAGCGCGTATTTTCTAGATACGTTGAGCGATTTCCGAGCATGACACTGGAATACACTCTTGGGTATAAACAGGCGACAGCTGTGTGGATCCATATTTTAAAGAATTAGAATTAGACTCCTATCCGTTGGGGGGTGTTAAGCTATTTTTTCCGCAATAACGTGCGACGCCACTACCTTGTTGTCGTAGAGGAACGAAAAACAACCCGAGCACCTGACAACAACCTATAAGCGTGCGCGCTGCCAAGACCATAACACGCGCAACATGTAGGTTGAGCCTGTGGCATTTAGACGGACAGAGAAGCGCGGCAAACCAGAGGCAGCAGACAGAAATATGGTTTTGATTTATTGTTAGTGACGTAAACATGTTGTCATAAAGTAGGTCGCTAAGCAACCACGCAGGTAAAGGGCGTATTTAAGAGGATTGACGTTGACGTTGAACGTTCCGCCAATGATGATCAGTCAACTTCTAACTCGGAAAGTGGTAATGTAGGCTACTGTAAATAATAGGCCACTTCAGAAAATATTTTGGGGCATGCCTGAATTATGTAAGTCTTATCACTTTAGTAATTTTGGAGATTAAGGAAGGATGGCTAGATTTTATAAAGCCACCAATCAGGACACATGTTGATACATCTCATGTGATTTTAGGTTAAGGCTAGTGTGTGTGTGTGTGTGAACCAAAGAGGTTAATAATAAAATAACTTGAGAGGTATCCATTAGCATTCTTGTTCATCTCAGTGGCACATGCACAGCTGGCGCAGTATGCAATTTGAAATCTGCCATCTTTGTTTATGGATAGTCATTCTGCTGCCAGGTTGTTTTGAGTCAATCATCTGAGCTGTAAATGCCATGTGACTAATGACTCTGGAGAAATATGATGTCATAACAAAGCTGGGGGAAAAAAGGATAAATTAATATTTTAAAGGGGTCATA